GCGCACCTGGGCTCCTCCCCCAGGGGAGCGTGGAGGACTGACCCCGCAGAAGTGGGGGCCGCTAGGGGGCGCGCCCGGGTGCGGCCCTGGGAAGGCTGCTGACAGTCCACCTGGAGAAGCCTATGCTCGGAAGGCCACTTCTGGAAAAGACTTTAAGAAGTAAACCCTAGAAAAAGTTCCAGTCTGGGATGTGCCCACTTCCCCCAGGAGGGCTGGAAACCCCCGAGTGCCCAGTATCAGAGGACAAGGAAATGACCACACAGGAGATGCCCTGACTACCCACAGGGAGCAAGCACCCCACACACTGCCATCAGGAGTCACAGAGACAGGAGATGGACATTTTGCTCTTTGCACTTTTTTTTTTCCCCAAATATCTATCATGAGCCCTTTGAATTCTATAATCCAATAAGAGATAAATACTTTTTATAAACCAAATCCACATTCTTCCACTCCTACCCTTTTCCCAACACAAGGAACACGGGAACATTCAGGGTCCAACACATCGGTGGCAAAGGATGGCCACTGGCAAAACCTGGCCCACTACTTGTTTATGTAAATAAAGTTTTATTGAAACATGGCTGCACCCATATGCTTCGCCCACCAGTGGCTGCCCGCCTGCTTTACCGACAGAGTCCAGCCTGGCAGCCCCTCCTATCCAAGGTTTCACTTCCCACGGTTCCAGTTGCCCACAGTCAACTGGGGTCTGAAAATATTAAATGGAAAATTCCAGAAATAAAGAAATCATGGGTTTTAAACTGCGCACCATTCTGAGTAGCATGAGGAAACTCTCAAGCATCCTGCTCTGTCCTTCCCATGATGAGAATCAACCCTTTGTCCAGTGTGTCCAAGCTGCAGAGACCACCCATCTGTGAGTCACCCACTGCCAGACCACCTGTCGACGTCCCGTGGTGCTTCTGTTCAGGTGACCCTAATTACTTATTTACCTAATTAAGGCCCCAAAGTGCTAGGCAATTGATGGTGGCAATCTATTGCAGTGTATCCTTCTAAGGGTTCTGTTTTGTGAGTAGGTATCGTTGGGACTCTGCTCRTATTTTATAACTAAACTTATCCTAGGAATCTGAGTGGAGGAAGCAGCGTGGTGACTACAGGTTGGGTGCCATCTGCTGCCTCGGKCGTCCACCAGGGGTCTGGCATCGGGTCCCCTGGGGATTAGCGGGGACGACCGTGTGACCTGCAGAGTCTGGAGTGTTTGTCACCTGAGACTTTACACAAACAGCATGCCAGCCCYGCCAGTGAGTGCCACGGGTGCTGTCCCCAGGCTCTGCCCTTGGGCGGGCTGGAGAAGGCCCTGCCCGGTACCCCCGGCAGTACCCCCGACATACCTTTCTGGCAATGGCTGTGCGTCCAGCACCGCTCGACAAACTGCCCGTTGATGACGGTGGCGGGGCAGTTGGTCTTGCCCTTGGCGGTGCCTGGGCAGATGTCTCCGCACTCCTCGTTGTCGTCTTTGTTGAGCACGATGTAGTTGTCCTCCACGGAGTCGAGGATCCGGGACCAGTCGATGGTGGCCAGGTAGCAGAGCTCGTTGTTCTTCTCGATGCGCACGGAGCCCCGGGTGATGTTCATGAGGCTGTAGAGCCCCAGCTCCTTCAGGTGGACCATCTCGAAGACGACCAGCGCGTAGTTGAAGAAGAGGCGGGAGCCGCGGATGACCGTGAGGTTGGGGAACAGGTCCTTGAGGCTCTCCAGCCCGTAGACGCGGAAGAGCAGCAGGTAGTCGGTGATGATGATGAGCTTGGGGAAGCTGAGGTCCCGGAAGTCCTCGGGCCTGGTTTTGAACATCAGCAGGATCTGCAGGTGTCCCTCGATGACGGAGCAGTTCTCCAGYTCATGCAGCCTGGTGAGGTTGTTCCGGATGTCCATGCCGGGACACACTGGAAGGAAACAGGGCGAGACGGTGAGAGACGCACCCGACAGGCGGGGATCACGGGCGGCGCCCACATCTTGGCAAACAGGAGCAACTCGGGGTCCTCAGATATGCCCGGCGGTGACAGTCATCGGCCCTCCATGCTCCTGTTTCCCAGGGTGGGGAGAACTCGCCGGATCACCTGGTGATGGCACGTTCAGTGCTTTGAGGACACCCACGCTGCTTCCCACAGTGACTCTACCAAGTTACATTCCCGAGGACGGCATGGGAGTCCCCCTTTCTTCATGTTCTTACCAGCATTTGCTCCCTCGTGTCATTTGGATGACAGCCACCCACGTCCGTCAACAGATGAACGGGTCAAAGAGATGTGGTGGACACACACAATGGAATACTACTCGGCCACAAAAAAGGCTGAATTCCTATCATTTGTGACATGCACCTGGAGGACACGGTGTTAACGGAAACAAGCCAGGCACAGAAAGACCGTGACCATAAAACCTCACTGACGTGTAGGGGCTAAAACACTGTTCTCACAGAAGCAGAGGACAGAACAGTGGTTGCCAGCGCCTGGGGAGGGGGAGCCGCGGGGAGGGAGGGAGAGGCTGGTCCGTGGACACAGAGTTGGGGGAAAGGAGTCCTGGTGGCCTGTGGCACGGCAGCGTCCAGCACGGACAGTAACGGACTGTGTTCCAGGACAGCAGGAGGTCACAGGAATGAGAACTGTAGGGAGCGACAGAAATGCTGGCGACCTGTCGGATCACTGCATAGAGCGGGTGCATCGAATCACCCCACTGTCCCCAGGAACACGKGCAGCTACTGTGTGTGTCCACTGAAATAATTTGTTTAAAAAAAAATACATTTAAAGGTGAAGGATTGAAAAGCGCCAGCCTCATGGGCACCTGACTTGGGTCCCGMGCTCCAAACTCTGCCTCGACCCTGGACGAGAGGCTCCGCTGACCAGTGCCCRGGCTGGAACCACAGCCTTCAAAAGGCAGAGAAGCAGCGCCTCCGGCTGCCCTGCCAGGAGCCCCACCCCATGGCCTGGCCACAGTGAAGACAACAGGCCTCCAGGACTGCACCCGGGCAGGTGCCGGAGGGTGGGGCGGCCGGCAGGTGCATCAGGAAGTGGCCTGCGGGACGGGGTGCCCACCTGGAGTGGGCGGGGAGGCGGCGTGTGTGTTTTGTCAGGATTCCCACCGCCCAGCTGACTCKGCCTCCCGGCGGCCTCCTGGCCAGCCGTCAAGACCTGACCACCTTTCACCTGGGTGGGGCCGACCTCCCGGGGAACCCGATCTCACTGCACGCGGCACCCTGCGAGCTCACTCTGCTGAAGGAGGAGGCTCCCACGCCCTCCATGGCTCCCCACAACCTTGCACTTCCCTCCCCGGGCCACACCAAGCCCCCAAGATCCCCTCCGTGACAGGACGACCCAGGCAGGGCCTGGCATGGAGTAGGTGCTCAGTTCCCGTCRCTGTGTCGTGGTGGTGTACCCCCCAAGACAGGCAACTGCCATCTYTCCACCCGTCTCTCTTCTGTCCAGGCCCTGAGCTCTGTTTCTAAATCCGGCCGTCAACRTCAAGAGTCAGTCAGATGCGCCTCCCCCAGGCGGGCTTCCCTGATTTCCCTTCCTCTGAATGCCTACTCGGGTCTCTCCCTTCTCCTTGGGTCCCTTCCATGTAAGTTGGCATCCGTCACACACAAGCTCTACAGGCAGCACCTCGCTGCCCAGGCACGACACACCCAGGGCACGCTCACCACACGGCCCCCACACCTGGGCTGCACGGCTCGGCTCCGGCTTTACTCCAAGACGCTGAGCCAAACGAACTGTTCCAAAGAAAAGTGGCAGGTCCTCTTACAAATCCACCCTGAGAACAGCCCACGATGGAAGGCAAGTTCCAAAGGCACTGCACACGCCAACAAGGGGGGAAAAGAAAGCCGTGTGCTTGGACSGCGCTCTGGGGGAGACAGGCCAAGTGCAAATAAGGGGAGACCCACCCTCAGGCACTGGGCCCTGGGGAGGAAGCCGCGGCACCCAGTGACTGGGACTCCCTGCTCCAGCTCTGACCCCAGCAGGTCGCGGAGGCCCAGGCTGGGAGGCCACCTCAAGGGCCAATGCCAGCCCCACCGGGCCATGCCCCCCAGGTAGGCCTGAGGCTCCCGGCCACAGTCACATCAACAGCGTCACAGACAGAGACACTGACAGGCATCGAGCCCAAGGGGCCCCATCCCCACCCTGCCCCAGCTCCAAGCTGCAAAGCCAAGGCACGCAGCCCAGCAGAGGCAGGCAGAAGGGCCAGACTTAGCGATTCCACCTGAATTTCGCGGAAGACGTGGATTTTTAGGATAAGTATGTCCCAGGCGATGTTTGGGGTATACCCGACCCTCAAAGATCACCGTTGTTCATTGGACAGTCACCTGTAACTGGGCGTCCCGTCTTCTCTCTGACGCCCCTGTCCACACCTCTGAACCCGAACGTCACACTCTCTATTCCACTCACTGGGGATGCAAAGAGCATGTGTCCCCACCCGATCAGGAAGAACCCAAGTCACCCCCGAGTGCACATTCAAAAATTAACTGGCCACGAGGCTTCAGGACTCTGGAAAGCAGCCACGTGAGCCGCCACCTGGTCACCAGGAGGGAGACCGCGGGAAAGACAGGCGACGCCCAGGGCTCAGAGGAGGCAGGGAAGCTGAACCCCACATGACCAGTGGGGGTGGCGGGCGGTGCAGCGGCTTTGGGGGACGGGATGGCGGCTCCCAGAACGTGAAACGGACCGGGGACAGAAGGTCAGGTCAGCGGTTCCAGCCCTAGGGACGGAAACACGCGTCCACCCAGGAACTCGCAGGCAAAGTCCCTCAGGGATCAGCGGATCAACAGTTGTGGTCTGTCCACGCAGGAAGGCCACTGGGCCAGAAAAAGGAATGACGTTCCGGCACATGTCACCACAGGCAACCTCGACACATGCCAAGAACCAGACACGGAAGGACACAAGGGTCCGATTCCGCCTGTGCGGGGTGGCCAGAGCAGGACCCGCCGAGGCCACRCCAGCAGGGCTGTGGGCCTGGGGAATCCGAGCTGGAGGACGYGGGGGTGCTCTGGGGGACCGCCGAGGGCACCCTGGACACCACACACGGCTTTCCCCCGGGGGCTGCGGGGTGAGTTCTAGGCTGACATTGTCATCAGCAAAGACTGAGTGGCCGTCACGGCAGAGGACAGTAAAGAATTGCTGCGCTTCCTGAATCTAGCCCTTAGCTCATTAGAGCCTTCTGCGCCCTGATTAGCAAAGACAAGAGGCCATTGACTGTGGGGAAAGAAAAGTCCCAGAGGRGGCCGGACGCAGGTGGAGGGGTCTCCGCGGCCTCCTGGTGCCTTGGGCGGGAAGCAAACCCTGCCCCTGTGTCTGTGTGGGTCCAGGGCAGGAGGCAGGAGGCCCCAGGTGGCAGTTAAATGATGGTGACGTCGGGGACCTGGGCTCAGCTCTGAGGACTGGTTCTCGCACTGAAGCCCCAGAGGAGGTGCCCGCTCCACGCAGGAGCGTGAGGCCAGCCGAGTGGCGCGGGCAGCTGAGGACGGCAAGCCCCTTTCCAAGTCCYGTCAGCAACAGCAGCAGCTGTGCCCCAAACGGCCGGGCGGGTTTCACCAGCTCCGTTCCTTCTAGAACACGCCCCAGGAAGAAGCCAGTGAAGGTGACAGAAGTGGGGGAACCCACGCCGYCGTTCTCATGCCATGAAAACCTGGAGAAAATCTGTGGGACAGAATCGTCCTTGTCCCTTCCTTCACAGTCAACGTCCCTGAGCACTCGGGCCACTCCAGACGTTGCTGAGCCCAAAGTACTGTCACYCCTCTGTGTTCCTGAGGATGTGGTCCCAGGACTCCCCGGGGACACCAAGATCCACRGAGGCTCCAGGATGTCCCACGTACATCCTCCCGGGGACTTTAAACCGCCTCTGAATGACCCAATACCCAAGAGAACGCAAATGTCACGGAAAAGGTCGTCGTCAGGCTGTGTTGTTGAGGGAACTGTGACAAGGATGAAAGTCCACAGAGTTTCCGTAAAGACATGGTTTGCGTTTTTGTTTTTCTAAYATTTCCAGTCCGTGGCTGGCTGAATCCGCGGACGTGGAACCCGACGGTACAGTTGCAGGATACAGGACCCAGGCAGTCCCTAAGGGTAAAGCCCGGCAATTACCAAGTGACCCCCCAAATCCACCTAAAATGGAACCCAGCCAGGGATGGCACCTGTAGTCCAGCCACTGGGGAGGCTGAGGCAGGAGGATGGCTTGAGCCCGGGAGTCAAGGACCAGCCTGGGCAACCCMGCGAGACCTCGTCTCYTAAATACACACACAACCGAGAAGGAAACCATCAGGGGCAGCTTCAGGGCCCAGAGGAGAATGAAGCAAGCCCCAGACTCAGCCTGGGGCAATCAAGACAGGCTTCCTGGAGGTGGAGCCACCAGGAGCACAAGAGGAGCACACAGTCCAACAGGAATCACCCACTGATGGGGCTGGGGCTCCGTGCTAAGGCGCTTGCCTGGCACGAGCGAGGCCCTGGGTTCGATCCTCAGCACCACATAAAAATAAATAAATAAAATAAAGGCATGGTGTCCATCTACAACTAAAAATTTTTTTTTTTTTAGAAAAAGAATCATTCATACCTGCCTGTTTCATCTTAAAGTCAAGGACAATGATAAGCTATAGTTTTTCCACGTGGATGGCCAGGGAGGTGCAAACCACATATGAAATTCTCTTTATGAAGTCAGAGATTGGGTTGGGGATGTAGCTCAGTAGTAAAGACCTTGCCCAGCATTGGGGGAGGCCCTGGATTCAATCCCCGGCACCACGGAAAGAACAAAAAGAAAAGAAAAGAATATACAAGAAGAAATGGCGTGGCTTCCGTTTGACCTSATTTATCCGAACACGTAATCAACACTAAATCGGGATCACTGAGCTCGGCCACGGGACGGTTCTACCCGAGGCCTTGGAGACGCAGCGTGCTTCACCTCGCAG